GCACTGTGGAATTACAATAGGTATAATGTTGTGAGAGGAATATGGAAAGGGGTCATGGTTCCTGGGCTGACGTTCGGCAACGTGGTCTTGTGCATGAGGTCAGAAGTTCAAGCAAGATTAGAAATTAGGCAACGTGAAATATGTAGGCTTGCTTTAGGAGCTCACGGGAATACACCAAACCAGGGAGTACAAGGTGATATGGGATGGACATCATTTGATGGCAGGGAAGCTAGCAGCAAGATAAAATTTGAGAAGCGATTGAGAGAAATGGGGGAGGAGCGTTGGGCTATGAAGGTTTTCAGCTACTTGTACATGAAGAATGTCAATACAAAATGGAGGAAGCGAACCAGGAAATTGACTGGTAAATACTTAGAAAACAGCAGGTGGCCAAACCAGAAAGAACTATCGGTTAAAAAGGAACTGCAGGAAACGGAGACTGACATGTGGAGAATTGGCATGATTAAGAAGTCCGCACTAGAGATCTATCGAACTTTTAAGCAGGAAATTGCCAAAGAAAGAATCTATGATAATACTCAGGGTAGTTCTCTACTGTTTGAGGCCAGGACGGGAGTATTGCGAACCAAGACATATCGGGCCAAATATGAAGAGGTAGACACAATATGCAGTGCGTGCGAAGAGAAAGAAAAAACTGCCGAACACTTGACAATGCTCTGTAAAGGGCTTCACCTTATAGTTCAAGATGATGGCGCAGAGTTTTCAAAGCACTGGTGTTTAGGGACAGGGAGGGCGAAATAGACTTTAAGCGGGTAGACTTAACTAGAAGGAGGTTATCTGATTGGTGGCTAAAGTCAAGGCACGATTGAAAATTAAACCCTTCACTTCAAAGTACCCGTCCAACTTTACTATTTAAAGGGGAAAAAAATCTAGTGGTTAGTTCACTAAGCATTACGGCTAGGTGACGTTAGCCGCCGCCCGATCTAAAGGGTACGGCCACATCCATCCATCTATCTAGCCAAGAATATGCACTCTGGCTTGTTGCTCCAGGCCTAGTCAGGTAGATTTTCTGGCCTCACCATTGAATTGTTTGCTCGGGTTGTGGCTTGCAAACATTGCGGTTTTGGGCTTCGTATCATCTTGTTCCATCATCATGTCCTCCAAGTGGAGGACATGTCGCAGTGTGAGGAGGGAGTACGACAAGGCGCTGATAGAATGAGCTATCAGTCTTACCAGGCAGGCGGTTGAGAGCGCACCGAGGCAGCTGACGCACACCAGCACTATCCGCTTCCTGTATAATACAGGCTAGGAAATTATAGAAACACAGAGCAGAAATCAACTCTTGTGGCTCTCTCATGCACTCACAAGGCGGAACCTGCTTCGAACACTGAGGGACCGAGCTAAGCAACACCATGCGTGACGATAAATCATGGTCTCCTATTGCAATAATGATTAAGGCACGCATGCAACTTAAACCATTGTCACGCAAGATGAATTCACAATACCATCGAAGTGAACCCAAGGCACGTGTTGATTATTATGTACGGTACTAGCGCTAAATTCATGCAGACGTTTAGTTGGCGCTGCAGTAGGCCTAGTTGAAGGAATGGCCACAGCTACTGCTGTGATGGAGAACGGGCTCATTAACATCTTCATGTAGATTAAAACGGCTTACCCCGAAATGGCTGAGAGTGTCACGCTATCTCTAGCAGTGGCACATGCAGTTGCATACTTAACGATTACAGAAATGGCGCACCGATTTTCAAAGCACCTATCAATACTTCCGTCAAGGCGTAGCACCAAACACTTTATCGCACATTTCGGAAACATTCCTTTTTCTCCCAATCTGGTGGCTAGGCATGACTACGCCCAAGAATAAGCATGTTATTATGTATGTCGGAGATATTTTCATCTGATCCCTGAAAAATTATTTCCCTAAACCCATGGACAAAAAAGAAAATGGAATTCGCATCTGTCATCACATTGCACCCCATCACAGGAATGGGATCAGATTGGCCTGGCGCTCAATACTCCCTTACGCTTAATCAGAGCTCGGTCTGGCACCAGCTCCAGACAAAACCATTTATAATCTCCTGTCTGGCACATCTGTTTTACTCTGCTCTCTCTCAACCAGAGTGCACCATGTACCTGTGGTTCACCCCTGGTGGATCTTTTTCACTGTTTGTGAATTGCACACAAAGCCCTTACTGGTAGATCCTATTCCCAATTCTTCACTATTCTCACGGGAGGCAACTCTTTGGGCAGCTTACATCACGACATGTGCGTGTCATGATGTCAGTGCTGTCTTTTTCCGAGTCGGCGCCGTCTTTTCTTTCTCTTTTGCTCCTTCCCTCTGCTGTGTTTCTGGTGTTGCGCTGCAAACAAGTGAATATGTTAAGAACACCAGATGTTCAAAATTTGCTTCTCAATAATATATCGTAGTTTTGGGAATTAAAACCCCAGATATATTGAAAGAAGATGCATGAAAAGGGAAGGATGATATTGGAAACTTGCAAAAAAGGGATGACAGACTTCTTAAGCTATGCTGCCATTGAGATTTTCAGCTGTTCACGCAATTCTCACACGTGGCTTTGATGCAGCTATGCACATATCACACAAGCATGCTGACTGTACAGTTAGTATAACTGCAACCTTCATGTACCCAGCCTTCATGTACCCTCTATGACATTTCAGAACATCTGAGTCAGTGTTAGCATCAAGTTATGTTCTTCATGCTGGGGAACCAGTGTGATGAGTTACCATTTCTACAGAATGAAGCCCTGTCTACCTGGAACAAGCTGCAAGATATATAACTAAACGGCCCTTTTCAGGGCCAGTTAATCTCTGTCCGGCTTGGATGCACCAACTGATTCTCTTTATCATCAACCCTCAATAAAACTAGCAAATGTTTGTACATGTGCAAGCAGTGTCATTCAATATCTTAGGAAATGCTTATGAAGCAATTTCAAGGAGAATCGTTTTTCTGATCTCATAGTGAGGCATTAGGAACACCTTAGTCACACCAAATGCCATTATTCAATGAGAGGAACAAGAGAAATATTTCACTGGGAACTATGAAGTAAACAAAAAAACAAATGTTTTCAGATACTGTGAGATCATTTCATAAAAAAGCTCAGAAGTTGCTATGTGTGGCCACATTTAATCTGTGCAAGCATCGTGTGGTTACAAAATTCTGTACCAAACATAGGTTCAGCTTTCTGGAATAGACCGCGCCCCAAGTAACCACGGATATCCGTCGGCTGTCCGCTATGAATCCAAAGGTCGAAAAATTCGGATATCCAGAGCGGACACAGCACGGACATTCGCTGGACGTACAAGCAAGGTCCATTGACGGGATGTACTAGGTGGCTTTCTGGTGGATATCCGAATAGGATTTCAGTGGGACAGCCAGTTGCGAATGTCCGCTGGCTATCCATCAAAGGGCCCCAAAGAACACATGGAAATTGAAATTAATTTTGGAGTACTGCAGTGCATGAGCATATCCTATGCTCGCAGTCATCAGAAATTTTCTAAATCTTGTGATAATAGTGGGACTTTAATTGCGTATGGTGATCCACAAATGATCTGCTTTCAGATCTAGAGCTCATCTCTCCTTGTATAGCGGCCAGACTCAGTAGTGGCGAATGTGTGTATCTGCGAGCAGACAGTTTCCGTGGATGGCATGAGCTGACTCGCATGCCGATGCCCAGGCCAACACACACGCTGGGAAACCAGAAAGCCCTTCAAGGATGAGGTATTGTTTTTTTAATTTTCACGGCATTCTGAACTGAATGCGACGGCTATTTGAAACGTGAAGGTCGCGGGATCAAATCCCGGCGGCGGCGACTGCATTTCCGATGGAGGCAGAAATGTAGGCCCGTGTGCTCAGATTTGGGTCACGTTAAAGAACCCCAGGTGGTAGAAATTTCCGGAACCCACCACTACGTAGGCGTCTCTTATAATCATATGGTGGTTTTGGGACGTTAAACCCCACATATCAATCCTATTTTGAAACGTAAAAAAAATATAGCATCTAGTTCAGGGTTTTTTTAAGGCATGTGCACTTTTTGTCAGGGTTAAAAATATATGTGCTCGTATAATTTATGTTGTATACTGTGCATTGCTTGTAGTATATCGTGCACTTATCTTACTAGTTTTTGTCAGTCGAAAGTGACCAACAGTTTTAAAAATAATTGTTTCATGAAATCAATTTAATTTTTTATCCCATTGACTACCATAGCAAAAGATATAAAATGAAACCATACACTCAATCTATCACTGAATAGACTAACTTTTCACTGCTGAACGTTTATTACAAATCACGTGTAAGAATACTTTAGGTAAATAAATACCACGGAGCGAGCGCTTGCATGTGAGGATGGACTAAACCTCAAGTGGGAGGAACCGATTATGTTCTTGTTTGCGGCATGCATGGCTCGCCGGACTGAGGTACCTGGCGGGCAAATCCCGCAAAGCACATCCGGCATGCGGGCGACGGTTTCCAAATGTGAGAAAACCGGGTTATTGCGCGATATCAACTACGCGACACCGCGAGAGGTGATAAAGGAGGAGATTGACAGCGTGGCGAGGGTGTTGTGGCGACGATAAATGAGCGTCACTACCCTACGTCTTGGGTCCGCGCTTTCTTACGCAGAGGAGGGGGGGGGGGAGCCGGGGTGAACAATGTTCTTATCGTTATCGCTCGAGCTCATTGCTAAGCAAAACATTATCGGGCAGCGGTTAGTCCCAGAGTTCGCTCACCTTAAGTATTTTTGCACAGTGGCCCAAATGTATTATTGTATTGAATATAGCAACGTTTCATATAAATTTTTGTATGAAATCCACCAATTACCTTCTATAAACAATGCATATTAATTAAGCATAACAATGCTAATTTCAAGCTTCGAGAGTATGAACTTAAAACCAGCAGTGCTAAACATTCCTGCAATAAGGTATACATGAAAAAAACATTGGACTGAATCAGATTTTATTTGCAATTGTACATTTCAGCACGATGTGCCCATTCTGGTTTCAGAAAAAAAAACTCATTGGTCCTGCATTTCAGCCTTTGAGCTCTTCTCACTGGCCGCACATCTTTCTTTGGCCCTGCGCAGCCACTCCTTTATCTGTTGGACAACGTCGTCGAGTGTGCACTCCTTGTGGTAGCGTGTCCGCTGAACAGCCGCTGAAGAAAAAGAAAGCATTAAAACACACAGAACAGATGTGAATATGCATACTTACAGAGCACAATTTTGGTGAGCTTAAGTTCTCTGAATTTCAGCTTGCCTTTACGGCCATCCATGCTGAACTCACACGCAGCTTGATTGCTCATTATATAGGCCATCATGCCCTTCACAGTCAAATTTAATGTCCTTGAGCCGTAGGACATAAGGTCACGGACCTGGAAGAAGTGTACAAGACCCATGTAACTTTTCGCATGCAGGTTTGTCAGTGAAATATTACAGCTATGCATCTTTGAAAGCTAGTGAAATAGAAACATACTCAACAAAATTCAAGCCTTTTAGAGTGCAAATTGCGTAAACTCTGCTGGCATACATTTTGCAAATCTGCAGCACTAGCATCTGAATGAAATATTTTGTTGAACTGTACCAGAGCTTCTGTTGTAGCTTCAGTGAGAGACTCATTGAAGTCTAAAACCTCCTGAACATTCCTTAAGGGGCTTTGCAGGGATGGCTCGGGCTGTCGCAACATTTCCATTTCTGAATCGCAACGCTTCTGTTGGTTAGCTGCTAGCATCTCCAGCATTTCAGCCTGGTTGTGCCTAAGGATGCTCAAGTGCGTCAAAACACGACGCTGGAATTCTAAAAAAAAGAAGGAGCAATGAATGAGTGAAGAACAAGCGACTTCCACTAGAAAACTTACCAGCACAGCTCAACGCTGTTTGTGATTTTTGTCGAACAGCTGAAACATTATTTACAGAAATTAGTAACCCAACTCTAGTAACCCAAGTTTTCATCGAGTGCAAAAATAAGATAAGTGAGTGGATTACAAAGGACAATGGGCTGGCTTCTAAACTCTGCTAACAGCTGCTTGAATTCTGGACCCTCAAGGAAACATCCTCGTCCCTGTGCACCACTGAACTTGGCGAGTCTGATAATAAACAAAACAATTGATTAATACATAATGTGATCTTGAATTCATATGCATTAAGCAAGAAAAGTACCTTTACTATGAAAAATGTTTTTACCATGACATTCTTCCGCCGGTTCTTCCTCCTCAACTGACCTTGTTGGATCTGATAATCAATGACATAACAATGTGATGCGAGTTTGATCATATGTGCATTAAGCACAAAAATTACCTTTATGAAAATTTTTTTACCTGGACAATCTTTTGCACTACCTGTTGCACAATCAGCCATCTGTTCATGGTCCCTTCCAGATTCTGGTTGGGCTTGGGCACATGGCTCCTGACTAGAAGCTGCAAAAATATGCAAGGTGAATGCCTAAAATCGGTTGCGAGAGATATCAGCTCTGAATTTTCCATAATTGTGTGCACCTTGGAAGCTCAAATGAAACAGGAAATCTTGCAGTAAAAACAAAGAAATGTCATGAAAATTTTTAATACGCACTCTGAGAGGCACTTTCAGAGTGCGTTTTTTTTATTTTGCTTGTTTATTTTTAATTTGCACCTAGTTCACGAGACAGTGAAGGTAGATTGCGAAGGTTTAGGAGATGATATTGTTCTGCACCACAAATGAAAAACCCCGACCAATAACCAGTGCACAATATCGGGAATCAGCTTTTCACCCAGCCGATACTAGATAGTATACACTAGATAGTATTCAGCGTTCCAGTGCAAACAAGAAGCTTACCTATATATTATACAAGCAAAATAATTTTACGTACATGGTGTGTGCTGTGCAGAAAGCTGCAAAGGAGGTGCAGGAGGGCCGTCAGAATTGGAATCTGAGCTTGAAAGGTAGTGCTGGGGCTTGGTCCTCTTCCTTTTCTTGGTACCCAAATTGTCGGAACTAGAAAGATCTGACTTGTCTACAAGCTTTGCCAAGTTTGCACGGCATTCTGCATATGTGCCTGTAAGTGTAACATGTACTGGGGTTAGTTAATGAGCCTAATTATACACTCGATTATTGAATACAGTTAGCCTGCATGAATTGAAATGCGAACATAAAATAACAGCTCATAGCTAGTATTAAAGCGTGACATCTAATCACTTACTGCCGATATATTATGATGCCTGAAGTACATTCAGGTCAGAGCACGTGCCTCAAGCTAACCACGTGCTGTTACATGATGCAGGTTACTCAAGAAAGTACAGGCGTTCACAATTCGCTTGGTAATATTGGAAATAGCGCGTAAAAGCCTAGGTCGGCCAAAATACTCACGAAATAAGCCTTTCAGTCTCGCATCATAGGTGTCAAATGTATCGTCTGGTTCCTGAAGGCGCCGAACCACTCTTTGTGCCTTGTCAGTGGGCCCTTTCGGCCACTGACATTTCTTGCCATTCACCCACGTGGACGGTACCACTTCGACCAATTGTGAGGGCAAAAATTCAACAAGTGCGAAAATCTGAAAAGATAGTAGTCACGCACGTATCAAGACACAGTATTGAACAGCACATATATTTTGAAAGATGTAGCATCGCTGCATAACGCTCTATCGTCCTGGCCCAGGCGTACGCCAACACGTGTTTTCTGAAGCGGATTAATTACTTGCAGCGTGCACCAGGGCAAAATGGTAGCGATGTTGGTTAAAGAAAAAGAACATCTATGTAGCCTATATAACGGCCATACATGATAAAGCACTTACCTCGTTCTGCTGGACTTGAAATGCACCGCACCGACCACGCTGCTCCGACAACACGACAAATGTAATATTTACATGCGGTGCACCACGGAGGAAGGTGATACACACGGTGCTAGCGATGACACTGCTGCCGCGTCGCAAATGTCTCTCTCAAAAACTAAAAGAAGTCACAAAAATGGCGTTTTCAATTTAGGTTATTTGATAATAATTATCCTCAAAAACGGTTGTAATACACCGCTTAATTGTTAAATATTATAAAGCTACTTTAACGAGGTTGTTTATATTGACCGTGATCTAGCCAAACAGCGGAGGAAAAAAAAAGTTTCGTTTGGCGAGCCATCGCGCAGTCAAGCCAAGCCACTGGATTTGTTTTGTAGTTCTGTTAGTCCTGTGGATAATGGCGGCGTGCTTGTAGTGCCAGTGCAGATACGATTGTATTTTCTTCCCCAGCTACGGAGGTAAGACAGCTACATTTATTTATTTATTAAGAATACAGTCAAAGACTTCAGAACTTTCTATGAGTACTACAATGTGTTTCCGTCGCAGGTGCCAGCATGCCTAAAGCGAAGGAAAAGTCTTACACGCGCAAAAAAGCGTCATTGCAAACAAAGGCAATATTTCGGGATTTCGGATTTCAAGCCGGTAGCCAGCCGTCAACGTCTGAAGGAATCGGGAACTCCGAACAATGCAGTAGTGCGTGTGGTACACTACGCGCATGCAGTAACACATGCTGTGCCAGTGAGTGTGCGAGCATTTGCGTGCCTGGGGCTGACGAAAACACTGCGGCTACATCAGCAGCTACTCAGGCGGATTGCTGCAGCTCGGCGCCCCCTGAGGGCAGTTCGCCTTGCGTCACCGAAAGTGACTCAACGGACACATCGCCCACAAAATGTTCACCCTGTTCGTCCAGGGGAGCATCTCACACTGAACCCGAAGGCTCGCCAATGCAACTCAGCGATGTGCCTTCTCCTGTAAGCGGAGTCCCGGAGGTACCTGTTTGTTCATCTTCCTCTGATGCATTGTCAAAGCACAAAGATTTTGTTGTGTCACTGCGCAGTTGGGCCATCAAAGAAAATGTTACTCATACAGCTTTGTCCGCTCTTCTAAAAATTCTCAAGGTCAGTACTTTCGATTCTTCATCTCTGCCTAGCGACGCTCGTACTCTTCTCGCCACGCCTAGAGATACACAGCGTGCACCTGTTGTCAGTTCAATGGTACCGGGACAGTACTGCCACTTTGGGCTACAGAAAAGCCTCGAGAATGCTTTGTCAAAAGCACGTTATGAAGGCAGTCATGTTTCTCTTGCCTTTAACATTGACGGGCTGCCAATTTCCAAAAGCTCCACCATGCAGTTGTGGCCCATACAGTGCATGATCCATGAAGATCGAAGAATACCACCCTTTGTAGTCGGAATTTTCGCAGGCCCAGGAAAGCCTGCTTCAGCCAATGAGTTTCTCAACAAACTTGTCAGTGACCTGCAACAGCTTCTTTCCCAAGGAATGATTTTTCATGGGCACCTAATTGATGTTTCTTTGAAGTGTTTTGTTTTGGATGCCCCAGCACGATCATTTGTGTTTCAGATTAAAGGACATACAGGTTATTCTGGTTGTCCTAAGTGCACAGCTGAGGGTACATACAGAAACGGTCGACTCAGCTTCCCTACTACGTCATCCACTTTGCGTACGGATGATTCTTTCAGGCGTCAGATTGACTCTGACCATCACCGGGGCACATCAGTATTAACATCACTGTCCATAGACTGTGTGACCTCTGCACCACTGGACTATATGCACCTGTTGTGTTTGGGGATTATGAAAAAGCTGCTCAATGCTTGGCTAAGTGGTCCTTTAGACATACGCCTTGGGCCTGCAAAGCGCAGACAATTCTCTGACCTTAATGTGTTGTTAGCACCGTATGTGCCGAAAGAATTTGCTCGCAAGCCAAGAAGTTTATCTGAAGCTGACCGCTGGAAAGCTACAGAATTCAGGCTCCTCCTCCTGTATAGCGGGCCTCTAGTGCTCAGACCTGTTCTAGCTCCTTCTCTTTACAGGAACTTCATGGCACTACATTGTGCAACTTATATTCTTTCAAATGCCAGCCTGTGCCAGCAGCATCTTGATTATGCAGAGTCCCTTCTACAGTACTTTGTAAAAGGTTTTGCCAAGTTGTATGGAAGTGACCAGGTTTGCTATAATATTCACTGCTTATTACATCTTGGAAATGATGTACGCAAGCACGGACCCCTGGACACTTTCAGTGCATTTCCATTCGAGGACAATATGCAGTTCCTCAAGCGGCTTCTGAAAAGCCACAAAACTCCACTTGCCCAACTATACAATCGCTTGAAGGAGCGAGATGGAGAAGTAGCTGATCTTCCATCTTTTGACAAAATTAAGTTTTCAAAAGAACATTCAGATGTACCCCTTCTACCCACCTGTGAACCACCCTTGTACAAACAGGCTACATTTGATAGCTTCATGCTTAGTGTAGAGGTTCCTACAACTGCTGCATAATAGATTCTTCTGTCATTATTGTAGAGAGTTTTGCAAGATTGAGAGGTATGCAGGTGCCCTGCATCATTGGCCGTGAATTCAAAGTAAAAGAAAACTTGTATGAGAAGCCATTTATTTCTGGCACCATTGATGTTTTTGTTGTTTCACAGCTTTCTAGTGTTAAATGTTGGCCATTAAGAAATGTACGCAAGGTTGCTAGGTTACCCTGGCACGGAAAATTTGTTACTATTCCACTGCTTCATCTGTCTTGAGGGCACTAAAAGAAGAATTGACTGCATTTAGGATAGATTACCCTTCAACAGTTTTTGACACACCGCTTTGCTATGAAGAGATGCTTTGCTTTCTTAAAGGGGAACTCCGGTGCATTTTCGACCATACTGAGATAATGCTGTTTTCAAATAGTATTGACAATCCTGCAAAGGCTAAGGTGGTTAATTTTGCCCAGGCACTCGTCAGTAACTTTAATTAAGTAATAAGCGACAAGTCAAAACAAACACCAAAACGGGAAGCTGCTTTGTCATCCATGGTGGGTATCAGATGACGTCTCGAGAATTCATCGCTGATGACGTCACGAGATCGGCTACACCCCGCCACGGCTTGCCAGGGTGCACACATAGCTCACATTCCTCTTCTGATGCCCGAAAAGCAAGTTGGCGATGTCGACGCAGAAGCAAGCTGTGCCAGAGCGTCTGAACTTACTAGTGACAAGTTCAGCAATGATTGAAGCTGCTATCTCAGCAAAGAAGCATCGCTTTTTGATTTCGACCCGCCGGCGCGCGAAGCATCTGACATGCCCCGAATCGATTTTCTTGTTGCTCAATATTGTAAGACCGACATCAACGATGACGAACACGCTGTATACAGCTGACAAAACTGAACTGTGCTAGCTTTGTCACCTCGTAGAAGAAAGCGCACATTGCATCTGTCTGCTGGGAAATGCAGGGTTTTCCAAAAAGAGTAGGCCCTTACGTCACATGCACAGGGTGGCCTGCGTTTACTAGTGTGATTGCAGAATCGGCTACTAATTTTAAAATTTGTTTTCCAAGAAACTGAATGACTTAGGGTGCATAATTTGGCACATATCATCACG